ATGGAGCACTGGGTGTTATATGCAAACAATGAATCATGGAACACTACATCAAAAACTAATGATGTAATGTATGGTGATTAACATAATAAAAAAAAAGAGGGGCTGTCAAGGTAGAGGACAGAGTGTGCAGGTTCAAACAGGCTAGAGCTGTTGTATGTACCTGGGAGTACACTCATTTCATGTTAAAGTATTAACAGCCAGTTGGATCTAAGACCATTGAATAGGACAACTGGTGGCATCCACTTAGGAGAACTGAATGACCACACAACCATACCCATCTTCATTGCCCACTGGAGGAATATGAGTCAGGGTTAAGGTTCTGGGCATTTATGGAACCATGTTGCTGAAAGGTGAGATTTTGGCCTGACTAATGTGATTTGGTCCTGATTTAGCTTGTTAATGTAACTAAATTTTCTGGTGTCAACATAGTTATTGTAAGTTAGTGGTAAGGAACAGGATAAACTGAAATAGCTATGTAAGTTTTCACACAGGAGTTAGGGCTTGAAAAACTACTAGAAATGGTAGAATTTGAGAAGTTCCAACTCCAGGGAATAGAGGGTTTTCTCTAATCTTTCTATGTCAGGTTATAGTTTTTTCCTTTCTCTGTTGTCTCTCTGCTCATTTCCCCTTCTCCCAGATACTTTTGCCAATCACCTTTGACCTGTTTCAAAATAAGTGAACTGATATAAGATATCTGATTGAATTTATCCATGATATTCCTATTAGCAAACAGTTACCAAATGCTTATTATGGGCTAGGCACTATTCTAAAAGTTTTATGTGTGGTAGCTCATTTACTCTTCATAACAAACTTATTACCAGTGTCACGCCCATTTTTAAGATACAGAAACCAAGATATGGCCGTAACTTAGCTGCGATTACACAGTTAACAAGCAGTAAAGCCAGGATTCAAACCAGGTGGTTTCAATCCATGGAGCACATTGTAATCACTATGTTCCATTTCGTCCTCAGAATACACTTTCAAAAAAATAACTTCACATAAATGGAATGTCATTTAGGAGTATTTCTCAATAATCTCCTTCAATAAAATAAGCAAACACCTAGAGAAGCATGCACTAAATTATGATGAAATTAAGAATTAGGCAGTCATTGTCTATACATCTTCCTGGTTTTCCTTAACACCTTTACCAATGCTTTTCTCTACATTATTTCTTATTTCTATGCCCTTTCAATCAACCACATCCATATGGATAAAGATAACTAACATTTATCCAGTTCCTGTTACCTAACAGGCATATTTAATTATCTCACTGATTCTTTAAATTCCTCAAGAAGAAGTCACTGTACTGTTGAATTATATTACACATTTCTTAGAAATGAAGAAAATGTAGTTTAGAGATCTCACATGGTTCAGCAAAAAGTTACCAAGCTACTAAATTATAGAGAAATCTTTTGACTTCAAAACTTTAATCCATACACTCCCTAAAGGCAGATAATCTAAGAAACATGTGTCTATTTTATATGCTATATATGTACATACATACATATCATAATGTGTGTGTGTTAGAAGAGAATGCAAAGAGATTATAAATGGTGGGGATAGAAAGTAGAAGAAGAGGAACAAGAAAATGAATAGGGCTACTGAATTTTGCTGCTGACAATATCAAAAATACTTACTTTTAAAATGATGAATGAAAGTTCAGAATGATGGCAGAAACACCTGAAAGAAAGGAACTTCCAAAAAACACATCATCTATAACATTTGACCTGTGGTTAGCTCTGTTGTACCTTAGTTTATTAAACTTTTACCTGTAAGTATACATAATTTGTTATCTTATAGCTTCTTTTCCATGGAACTCTGGAGGCACTGGTTCAAAAGAGTCATCAGAGGAATGCTCAGGATTTATTTTGTCCTCAAAGACTTCATAGTGAGTGTTTTGATGTTGAGACCAAAATGAAGACTTCAAGAAAAACAACGGTGAATGCTGGCGGCCATCTTCATCTGATCAATCAAGACACAGTTAGATATTGAATTAATCATCTACATCAGTAAAGAATGGTATCTGTCCTAGGGTAGCTTGATACCAATTTTTTCCTACACATTAATGATCTTTTTCCAGTTCTATTCAGAAATAATTGACTTCTATGACTGTATACGATTAAGGCATGATGGTTTGATTTACATATATTGTAAAATGATTACTACGATAGGTTCAGCTAACATCCATCATCTCAATAGATACAATAAAACAAAAAGAATAAAAAAAATGTGCTCCTTGTGATAAGAACTCTTAGGATTTATGTTCTTAACAACTTTCCCATGTATCACACAGTGGTGTTGACTACAGCCTTCATGTTGTACATGACATCCCTCGTACTTATTTACCTTACAACTGGGAGTTTGTACCTTTTGAAATCCTTCTTCCAATTCCCGCTTCCTCCAGCTGTAAGTCCGATCTCTTTTTCTATAAGTTTGGTTTGGTTTTTCTGTTTCTGGGTTTGGTTTTGTTTTTTTAGATTCCACATATAAGTGAGATCATTACACTATTTGTCTTTATTTATTTAAGCATTTAAAAAAATATGGCAAAAATTGAATGAATTTTGGATACTCCTGTTTTGCAGCTGCTGACCCAGTTAAGTGACATTTTCTCTACCCCCTAGTATATACCTTAATTCTTTCATTGGAAAGGCAAAAAGTTACCAGAAACAAAAGCCACCCTACCCCTCCATCTACTATATAACTAACTACCAAGTCAGACTGTTTCTATCTCCTAAGTATCTCCTGAGTCTGTCCTCCCCTCTATATTACACTGGTCCTCAATTTGGTACCCCCCCCCAACACAGACTATGATGTCCACCTGCTTTGAACCCACCCACCAAACAGCTGTCAGAGCGATCTTCCTAAGACACAAATCTCATCAGTGAAAGGTCCTACATAGATTATATCAATCTGTCTCTATTTCCTGCACTGATGGTTCTAAGGTTCTTGGATTTCTTGGATGAATGATATTTTTTTAAATAAATATACTGTGTTCTTTAAGGACAATTTAAAAAGCCTCCCATCTTGCTATGATCACCATTGCAAAAGAGAAAAAATATTTTCACAACAAAAGTAGAGATATTTAAAGGCTATAATCTCACAATATGGAAGACTTAACTTCCAATGAAAGAATTAAGGTATATAAATAAGTTTCACATTATTTTTCTCATTTCAACAAAAACAAGAGAAAAGGTTGTCAGAGATCACCACCAATACTGGACCTGACTAGAGGAGAGAATCCCAAATTCTGCGTGTGATCTATGGAGTTAGCAAGAGCAGGCACCTACAGAGGGACTTAACTGGAGGTGAACCTCAGCATCACTGGGATCTTTTTTTAAATATTTTATTTATTTATTTGACAGAGAGAGAGTGAGCACAAGCAGGGAGAGCGGCAGGCAGAGAGAGAGGGAGAAGCAGACTCCCCACTGAGCAGGGAGTCTGATGTGGGGCTCGATCCCAGGACCTGAGCCGAAGGCAGACGCTTAACCGACTGAGCCACCCAGGCACCCCGATCATTGGGATCTTTACATGCTATATGGCCGTGTGTGTAGCCGTGCACAGACGTGTATTTGGAAAAAAATCTCTCCTTGTAATTTCTTATTAGCTGGTTATTAATTCCTATACTAGAACCACATCTGACACCCAAACTCTGTACTAGCTCTACCTAATAACTTTTCATTTCCCCTACACCATAGCTGTTTCCCATTGCTGGGCACACATGCTATTCCTTTTGACCATAAAATTTTTTGTGCACTCTTGTCCACCAGGTAAACTTTCTTATCCTTTAAATGCAGCTGAAATTCTTTCCTCCCACCAACCCAAGGACTTACCCTTTCAATGAACCTTGTGGTATCCTCTCCTATCACACTTCCTATATTTAATTACTGATCTTTGTGTTTCTAATGTTAACTGTGAAAGCCTTGAAGACACAGCCTGCTGACCCACATAAACTTAATCAGCAGTTATGTATTAAATAGATAACATAGATTAAATCTGATATCTAATTAGTATCAGTTTTATGGGAAATTTTGATTCAGAAAAAGAATTATGAATGTAAAAACATTTAAATATAACCTACTCTAAAAATGTGGATTTGAAAGATGTTTATAAAAATTTGGGTTAAAGAATACATATTGTACCCAAGTAAGGGGAAGTGAGATTGAATCAAATTTGTGTGTGTGGGGGGGAAACTGAGGAGGAAGAGGAAGAGGAGGGGGAGGGAGAGGGAGAGGAGGAGGAGGAGGGGGAAGAGGAGAAGAAGGAAAAGAAGAAATATTTTGTTTGAAGCTGAGGGAAAAAAAGAGGACATTCTTGTATTCCTTCATCAAATATTTATTGAGAGCTTTTGCACCAGGTGGTCTCTAGATGGAAAAATACACTGTTTATCCTGAAGAAAGTTAAAATAAGACAAATATATGCATTTATGTAATTCACCAGGAATTTATTGAGGACCTACTATGTAACAAAGACTGCCCTAGATGCTTACAGATACCTTCCCTCAGGAGGACTTACATTCTAGAGACAAAAGACAGGAAATAAACACTAAATATAATGAATATTGAATTCAGTGGAAAAAGAAAACCGAAAAGGGAAGTATTAATAAAGTCAGTTTCAAAGTTTTCATCCAAATTCTGCTTTGTTCTTGGGCTAGTCATATAACCTCTCCAGACCACTGCTTTGGCAAATCTAAGATGTGAGGTTTGTACTAAATGCTGAACTAAATACTCATTGGTAAAATTTTCTGATTATATGAATACTTAGAAACAGAAAAAAATTGAATTCCTTCTTCCCAGAAATAAATATTTCTTATTGTGCCTTCCCGTAGTAGAGGGTGGGGGTTAGGGGAGTATTTGAAAAGTAAGCTAATTATGAATGAGTGGAGAACTCAGAAGAAAAAGTGGATAATTACCTATTAAAGTACAAATTAAATTTTAGATGGAAGTATTGGAGAAAAAAATTTTAATGTAGAAAAAAACCCCAAAACTTTAGGAGAGGACAAATAGGTAATATGGCACAGAGTTGTGACGGGAAAATTAACTTTGGAGCATTAACTATGCCTTCCTCTACTCCCAAGAAAGAGTTTCAATTTTATCTACTAGGCTCTGGGGCCTGATGGGCTAAAAACAAATTGACTTGATTTATATTCAAAGGGTTATAAACAGTGGGCAAGAGAGAAAATAAGAAATTCCAAAAGGATGGGACGCCTGGGTGGCTCAGTCGGTTAAGCGTCTGCCTTCGGCTCAGGTCATGATCCCAGGGTCCTGGGATCGAGTCCCGCATCGGGCTCCCT